GTTACTGCAGTTGCAGTGTCGCATTGTAGAGTCTGGTTGCAGCAGGGATGAATGACCTGCGGTAGCGCTCCTTTTTCCAATCAGGGTGTAAAAGCCTTTGACTAAAGGAGCTGCTCAGCTCCTCTACAGTCTGCTGTAGAGGGTGGAAGGTGGCGTCCATGATGGATGGAAGCTTGGACAGCAGCCTCCTCTCAGCCACTTCCTCCACTGAGTCCAGAGTGCAGCCTAGGACAGAAACATCTTTTCTCACCAGTTTGTTAGGTCTCTTTCTGTCCCGCTCTGAGCTGCCAGGAGAAGGTTTGAAGCAGGGGCCTGCTCACTGCAAAGGACCTCAGCCTCCTCAGGAGGTGGAGGGAGGTGGCTCTGGCCCTTCTTATACAGGGCCAAGCTGTTATGAGTCCAGTCCAGTTTATTGTTGACGTGAACACCCAGGGATTTGAAACTCTCCACAGTTTCTATATCCTGCCCCTGGATGTTCACGGGGGAGTGAGGTGGGGGTCTTCTCCTGAAGTCTATCACCATCTCCTTGGTCTTACTGGTGTTAAGACACAGGTAAGACACTCTAAGAAAAGTCAATCCAAGGATCTGATAACATACCTGGGCGGGTGTTAAAGGAGTGTGGGGGTCAGCTGGCTGGTGTCCTCACAGACATCTTTTAACACCTGGCTGGACCGATCCATAGTGCCAGCCTGCTTCAAGTCTGCCATCTGAAGCCTCAGGTCGCCTCCCTCAATGATTAGCAGCCTGTCGCTCTGACTCCCATCATGATGAAGTGCTTCCAAAGGCTGGTTAAAGAACACATCATCTCCAGTCTGCCGCCAACATTCCACCCGTTCCAGTTCGCCTACCGACGGAACCGCTTCACTGAGGACGCCATCTCTGCTGCTCTCCACCTGAGCCTGGCACACCTGGAGGAGAAGAACACCCACGATGGATGCTGTTCCTGGACTTCAGTTCAGCTTTTGTAGAAGCAGTTTTATTGTCTTATATATCCTTACACGTGGCCCTATACTTCCTTAGCAGCAAAAACAGTACATGCTGAAGGTCAAGTATGAGTCTTAGCAATAATAAAGTCCCTAATGCCTTATTCGTACGCAATTAGATGATGTATGAGGAGGTTTGGCATAAACAGAGAACATCTGTATAAACATTCCTCTGAGTGTCAAATCAACCGCCGGCGTCGACCAACACAAGTGAATTCCAGTAAGCTTTGGACATGATATTCCTGTGCATGTGCAGTTACGTAATGCGATGTGAAAACTATAAATGCCGCCTAGAATGGACTGAAGGTTGGGGATAACTGAATTGTTACGATGCATCGCTGCATGTATGAAGTGTTTAAGACAGCTGTATGAATTCGGTTTTGTAATTAAATGTTTTCCCCCCCTCCGGATGATGAAATGGTGTGAATTGTGGCCTTCTTTCTATTATAAGGGAATTCTACCAATGAGCCCCCATACTTTCAACACCATCATCCCACAGCATCTGATGGGCAAACTGGAACAGCTG